GCAAAGCGTTTATTTCTGCCTACGACTCGCCCTGGGCCAGTGGGAACCAACTGTCGCTGCCGGGAGCGCCTAACCTTGCCCCGAACCGACGCATGCCCCGAGCACCCGCCCGTACCACGCCCGCCGCGCGAATTCGGGCGGGCGAGCTTCATGCCCTTGCCGCATAACGAATGACTGCGCCCACAGGACCGTTGTGCTGCATGCTAATTGTGCTCTGCCCTAGCTCCCCCCCCTCCGTTTCTTGTTCCTTTTGGGGTTTAGCCTCTTGGTACCCCCCGTTGCAACCAAACTACCCAAGCTCCTTCCATAAATAAAACATACTGCAGTCTTCCCAGCCGAACCCAGTGCCTCGAGGTCCACCATTAGCTATACAGTGTTTGTTGCGTATAAGTATCGCCAGACAGTGCGTTCTATGCAGAATCTCATGCGCCGCATACAATCAGGAGAGCATGTCTTTCCATGTAGCCTGCAAGCGCGCACGCACGCAGTGTGCCTTCACAGTGCCAACTGCATTCAAGTATCACCAGACAGTGTTCGCTGCCTGTTGCATGTCCCACATTCATGCAGAATCCCTTGCGTTGCATAACACCAGGAGAGCATGCCTTTCCTTCGAGCCTGCAGACATAACCCGACGCAGTGTGACTTGTGTCTCAAGCCCAGCTTGCCGAGTACGCCAGGAACCCCGGTGCACCATGTACCGCCCGCGTGTGCTTGGCGCCGCTAATCAGCGCCGCAGCCCCGGCTACCTCTTTGGCCTCCTCCTGGGATGCCTTTGGCTATGCAGGGGAGGTGCAGGCCCGAGCCCGAGCCCACAAGTGATCTACGTCGACTCCAGTGGAGAGAGTGATGCCTCTGAGATGCCCTGGGCTCCCCTGGAACCTGAACCGCATGCCGAGCCGCGCGTCCTCGACGCTGACGAGGTGACGGACATGCCCGTGACCTCACAGGGGGCTGCACCCCTGATGCCCGAGCCGACGCACCCACAAGATCGACCCCACAGAGTCCGACCGGATAGGAGGCCATCCGCAAGCTCTGCCTCGACCTCGTCGGCTACCTTCCCAGGACTACGTGAACCGCGACCTCGACAGCATGGACAAGGCCCGGTGCACTACCAAAGCCAACAGATGCCCTATGCGAGCCAACCTCAAGCCGGACAACCGCCTATTGCCCAGCAAGGAGGGATGTACTACCAGAGCCAGCCAACCAACGACATGGGAGCGCAGAGCATCCCTGCATACCGCATTGGCTACGCCCCCACCTACGACCCTGCAGCGGACCCATGGCACGAAGATGGCATGTTCCAGGGAGTATCGGCCGCCATGGGAGCCTTTATGCAGGAACAGCCTCAACGTCCTTTGCAGCCTGCACCACAGCAACCACAACAACCACCGGCCAACGCCTACCCGTACGACCCGTGGGAAGACGAGCTGGACCAGCCCACCCAAGCTCTACCGGGGCAACACGCCGGGCCTGGACAACCTGGACAAGCCTACCCCATGTGGGGACCCCATCACGCACAACAAGCTCAACACCCCCAACAAGGGCAAGATGCTCGACTACCTCACCCAGCTCAATGGACGTGGCCACACACGGCGTCAACCGTGCCTGGGGCAGGGCAATTCAATCCCCCAACAATGGATCCCTGGGGAGTCATTGCAAGACGCTATGCATCCTCTGGCCCGCTTCTCCCACCGGAACAATGGAGCACCAACGCCCTCGGACTCACAGGTGGCCAACGCCAAGCCCAGCCGACATCACCTACACCGAGCGAGGCTACCACCTGTGCGGGGGATGATGGACCCGTCGGAGCCTGCATCACAAATTCCACAGGACCAACCAACGGGGGATCACCTCCATGACGCCGAGAACGACGAATCCACGCCAGATGACCTCGATTGGGACAGCGACACCTCGGACAGTGAAGACGAGGACGAAGAGCCCGAGCAAACCACCCCACAGACGGGGAGGAAAACCCCCAAGCGCGCTGCTGGACATGGTTCCCAAAGATTGGCGAACAAGGCAAAGAAGTCGGACGTCAAAAAGAGATGGCGAGAGCTGGACTGGGGCAAAAAACCCAATTGGTTGAGCTGGCGTGGAGCTCTCCAATATATACAGCGGGGTGAGAAACCCCCGGCGAAACAACCACTGCCGCCGACGCCGTCACCGCAGAGAGAACATCTTATCTCTATGCTGCTGGCTCACCACTACAGCTATGACGCACAAGGGAATGTCGTGCCACATTACCCACCGCGACCTACTACAGCCACGGCCATGGAGAACAGCGAAAAAGCAGCCAACCAAGCCAGAGCGGATCATGCCCAGCGACGAGCGGAGAACCCTTACCTGCGCAAGACAACCCGCAGAGCACAACAGGTGGATGCAACGGCTTCCTCTGCAACAACCAATCAGGCTGGGGAACCAGCACGTCGCCCCACATCCTTACAAGATCCTCGCCATCAAGGACATCGACCCGCTCAACAACGACAACGACCAGAACGAGGAGACCGGGGGGACCCCCATCGCGAAGTCCACTTCGAACTACCCGAAGGTCACCGTGAAGCCCCACCAAAACCCGTCCGCAGGCAACCCACATGGCGTAAGCTCACAGGCAGCACCACGGTGCAACTTACAGGCGATGGGGTCCACAACTATCCGGTCCAGATCGTCGACAACAGACCGGTGCCTTACCAGGAGCGAAGTGCTACAAACAACATGGCCCCCAACGACAACCACGACGCCGCCAACCTCCTGCACAACATCGAAGGGGACGTTCTGGTAGTGCAACCCCTGCACCTCACGGAAACAATGGATACAAGCTCCTCGTCATCCTCAGCCAGCCACCCCGCTATGCCAAGGGACCCGACAACAGCAGTGCATTCGGGGGGACCCTCGCTCCCTGGAATGGACGATCTAGACCAGCAAGCGGCAGAAGCTATTGGGGACGGTCAGGCCCCAGCCTGGGAAGTTGAGGGGCAAGGCCCAAGCATGAGGAGCAGCGTCCGCGTCGATGACAATAGCCACGATATATCCTGGGTTCAGGGGGCCACCCCTCGCACGCTACCCCCGCCGATGCCTCTACACCCGAGGACAGTTTTGAGCATGAGGAGCACAGCCACGGGATCCTGGCGAGGCATTACGTGGTCCCCACCGAGCCACTCAATTGTGCAACACCCACCACGCCGCCAAGTGGAGCCCACTATCGTTATATACAAGACTTTGGCGAGCCAGCAGAACCGGGAAGTGCTTCCCGATGGGCTACATATAACAATACACCCGGCAGGCGAATGGATCGCCACAACACGTTTCGAGTTGGGATTCGCTAGGACGCCGAGATATTGGCTTGTCGTCATCGACCAAGCTCCAGCACCGGCCGCACAACGCCTGGCATTATCCACTGGTGACAGCTTCTGGCTTGAATGGCGTGGCAAGGAGAGAGTCTGGCAAAGACGGCCCAGATTTCCCAACGACATCCAGGCCCTAGGGGGGTTTGCCAGAGTCCCAGGCGCTACTCCCCCTCGTCCGCCGACCCCACCACAACGGCGAGACCCCACAGTGCCCAAATCAAGGGAAACCTACCAGGGAGGCTTTGACCCTCGACGCTTTGTGGACACCAGACCCCTCCGGGGAAGACTCGTCCCCTCAGAAGCCACCCCAGCCCAAGACGCACCAGCCTCGTCTAGCCATCCCCAACAACAGCCCAGCGTACAGCCGACTGAACAGAGAGAAGTGCGAACCAACCCGAACAACCATCGGCCGGAGCAGCAGCTACGCAACCGGGGCACAACCCCGCCGATGATTGGCAAAGCGAAGCCCCCACCGCCACCGCCAGTTTCCTCAGGCTCAGAAACGGAGACCAGCTGGCCTAGCGAGGACCCAGCCCGCCCCGAGGATGACGATGCAGCCTTCTTACAACGCGAGAGGGCCCCCGAGCCAGCACCACCGTCGGCCACACTCGACTCCTCGCCCACCTCATTCATGCAGAACCAACGAGCAGAGTCCAGTGCGCGAGTCCCGTCACAGCCAGCCCGAGGGAACCAAGCCGAAGAGGCACCTCAACCACCACCACCGCAGCCTGACCCAGCACCTCTGCCGCACGAGATGGACACTCCGTGGTACTCTGTGGCCGCAAACTTTGACAGCGAGTTCACAGTTAGCGGCCTCCTTCGGATCCTGCAAAAAATCCTGCACGAGATGTTGCAGCAGACCTTTGGCCTACCCAACGAATACCTCACGCACCTGGCATATCATTCCTGCTACTACCTCTCCAAGCTGCAAAGTACAAGTGACCGGGCAGCCCAGCGCAGCGAGCCGGGGGAAAACCCCACAGGAGACACAGGAGCTGGACCTCTTGCTATGGTTTTCTGCATAACTAATGCGTTCGTGGAAGCAGAAGCAGCCCTTGACAGTCTCGTTCAGCACCAGCGCGAGCTCCCGCGACGACATCTCCTAAAAGAACTTCGGCGAGCTGAGGCCTTACTAAAAGATGGCCGGGCCATCTTCAAGAGTTGGGCCCGCAACCCGAATGCTCCAGGGGCCTTACCGGGTACCGCGGCCTCCCAAAACGCTTTGGATGGAGTGGACTTCTCATTCCTGGCAAGCGAAGAAGGTGGAGTGGCAAACCTCGACGACTCGTTGAGGCTCGCCCTTGCAGCCACGCAGAGGTGCAACCAGTATATGAACCAACTCCTGGATTGGATCCAGGGCCACTTTCATGAAGAACCTCTAGGGGGAAGCCCCTCGCCAAAACGCC